AAAAACATGAAGTATAAACCAGTTTAATCTGAAATCCGTGTATAATATTGCCGCTGTGTGAAAAATATTTAGTGTGTGCAGTTCCTTGCAGGTAGCTACTATACTGGAAAAGCATTGTACAAACCAGGTGTTGCAATCTACAGTCAGTGTCTGTCCAGACTGGTAGACCTGTCCGTTGTGCACACATGGACAGCTGGTCTGTTTAATACAGCCTCCATTTTCATCTGACACCAGGTCATCGGGGCAGACGCAGCCTGATACGCAACCTGAACTACTGATCTGTAGTCAACAAAAGTGGAGGGCAAAAGGAGAGAATAAGCCAAGCGAAGCCTGTACATACAATGTATGTCTAAACATTTGGCTTCTGTGTGTGCTAAGCAGCACTTACACAAGGCATGTCCAGAGAGTTGCAGCTCTTCTGGCACTCACTCCCAGGGGTCCCAGGTGGAGCAGTGGAGCAGTTAAAGTACACCATTGGGGCATTGCATGATGGGGCTGGGTATTAAATAACAAATTCAAATTCAGAGCAGTTTTTTTTAGCATTATAAAGGCTATTACGATCATGTCTAAATTCCAGATGTCGTATGCATAATTCAAAGGAAACTGAACTTTTTAGCTTGGGAACATCATGCACTTGAAGAGAACTTAATGTTCAACAGGCCTCTACAATGACTAATGGACTGCCAGTGGGAAAGTCATTACTAAACAATTTATCATTCACAAATTGAATTCAGCAGTCAAACACAACATCTTATCTGAATCCTTGGGATTTGAGTGTGTCCTTATGTGAAAACGTACATGCTTGTAGTGCTGCTCCTGGGCAGCTGAGAGCTCCGTTTCTGCAGATACTATGACAACACACATGAAGGAGACATGAGAAGCAGAGTTAATGTCATCCAAAAATCACTTTTTCTATCAATGGAATTCCTTACCCTTCATAAATATTGTGATGATATAGACCAACTACAGTGTCCACTAGCTCATCCTTTGACCAAGCCCTTGTTTTTTGACCAACATTCCAACCTCACATATATTTAGGGGTATATTAGCTGAATATCTGAAGTGTAAAAAGTAAACTATGTAATGCCCCAAAATATAACAAAAATGGTTTGTTCATAATCTCAGTTTATTTTTTGTGACCCCTTGAAGCCCTATTCTTGACATCAGTGGACTCGTATATACCATGTGGCGCCGTCTTTACTGACAGTCTGTC